AAGGCGAGTACGTCCTTTCTTAAATAAGGAGACCAAAACTGCGCACCATATTCTTGGTGCGGTCTTACCAAGTGGCACTCTACTAGCACATCTTGCCAATCTGAGAAGGTCCCGTTTATTCCTACTCTCTGTTTTCTTCCTGTTAGCCACTCTTCGATCAATGCTAATTTATTGGCTTTAATTCCATGTGCTCTAATCTTGTGTAGCAGCCTTTTATGTGGCACCTTGTCGAACACCTTCTGAAAATCTAAATATACTACGTATACTGGTTCCCCCCTATCTAACTTGCTAGTTACATCCTCAAAAAAAACTAAATCTTACCTTCAAAGCCCTCCATATAGAGGTGTCTGCTCCTTCGGCTCCTGCCTGATTCATGTTCCCGGCCCAGCCCACCCCACCATCGGCGGTGGGCCTCCAGCCTTTCTACCCCCACAAAGAGTCACAAAAAGGTGACCAAATCATTATTACTTTTTTTTAACTTGAAGGGATTATTACCCCTGGAAAAGCGATCCGCCAACCGACTAACAACCAGGTTCTTACATACTGCTAGGAAAACAGAGGCGTGTGTGTGTGGAATAAGGAAACTTATCCAAATTTTTTCCCATAGACTTGCATTTTTTTCCTTTTGATGTATATATCCAATTCGCTTTATGGAAGTTGTTATTGAATCTGCTTCCACTACCTTTTCAGGCTACGTATAGAATCTGATATTAACCTCTATATGGACAGTTGAGTGTCGAATAAGTTACACCTCTATATAGGTCTGATATAAACAGTGAGCATCCCTAAACCGGGTAAGCAGAGGCGTGTGGAGTAAGGAAACCTGCTCAACTTTTTGATCTGCTGGGAATCAAATTGAGGTCTCTAGCTTGGAGGCAACTGCTCTAACCACTGAGCTACAGGACTGGACAGTCCACAGGATATTAACAGTGACACCTCTATCTAGTCTGATATAATAATAATAATCCTTGCACTTGATATAGCGCCTTTTTGCTTGAGACATGTCAAAGTGGTTCACAGAGTATACTGTAAAGCTAATTGACAGCAGCCAATTGCACACAACGGTGTGCCACAAACAGCCATGGATTGAGTAACCACTATCATTTTTTTTGAAGGAATTATTACCCCTGGAAAAGCAATCTGCCAATCGACTAACAACCGGGTTCCTACTCACTACTGGGTAATCAGAGATGATGTAAGGAGTAAGGAAATTTGCCCAACATTTCGCCCTGCCGGGCAATCGAACCCAGGTCTCTCACTTGCGAGGTGACTGCTCTGACCACTGAGCTACTGGACTCACAGTCCACAGGATATTATCAGTGACACCTCTATAAGTTCGGATAGTAACAATGACAACTCTATATAATGTGACCCCTCACATCTGTATATTGTCTGATACCAGCGTTGGGATTAAATGATCTGCTAAAGTCTATTAAACTGGTGGAACCGGCTGGTTGGGCTGAATTGCCTCCTACTCCTGATTTTCTTTGTTCCTATTTGATTTTCCTGTTGCTGCTCCTCCATTGTTTACACTTCCCATCGCTGCCCGATGCTGGGAATGTTTACTTCCGGATATTGTGCTGTTTTCCCGTAAATCTGAACGACGACAATAACAATGGATGGTGTTTGCAAGGATGATTTTCCCTGGGTCTCAGCCTGGCTCAGTCGGCAGTGCTCTCGCTTCTGAATCACCGTTTATGGGTTCGAGCCCCTCGTCAGGTCATAGGAGTGAATGGAATTTCTCTCCCCCAGTAACCAAGTCAACATTGTCCCAGATGATAATTCACGCTTGATTCTGGGACATGGCTGTGGGCGGGTGGACTCCCACATTTACCTACAAAGTACACAATATATGGTCACTACACTTTGTAGTGAAATCCTGAGAAGCACTTTCATGAGTCTGCTTGCCTTTAATTTAATAAATAATGAATCATCCTTGCGTTTCATATAGCACCTGGGACACTGCTGTGCGCAAATGGCTGGTGTGTTTCGCCCACAAACATACAGTCAATTCACTTTACAGTATACACTGTGAAGCACTTTGAGACGTCTAGAAGACATGAAAAGCACTATATCAAGTGCAAGGATTAATATATATTATCGCATCTTTGAGACATCTCAAACCGCTTCGCAGAATATATTGTAAAGTGAATTGACTGTGCATTTTGTGGGAGGAACGCGGCAGCCATTTGCGCACAGCAGCGTCCCACAAACAGTCGTGTATTGAGTAACCAAATTATTATCACTATTTTAAAAAAATTTAAGGAATTATTAGCCCCGGAAAGCGATCTACCTATCAACTATTCACTGGGTTCCTACTTACTGCTCTGTAAACAGAGGCACGTGTGTCCAGTAAGGAAATTTGCTTTAGGTTTCGCCCGGCCAGGAATCGAACCCGGTCCTCTCGCTTGCAAGGCGAGAGCTCTAACCACTACACCACAGGATTCCGGGTACTCAGGTAATGAGATGTTTGAAGTCAGGCAGTAAAGAAGTGGTGAAGAGAATGTGACCTTCTTTGCCAGGAGAGGGTGGGGGCAGGGGAGAGGGAGGGGGCAGGGGAGAGGGAGGGGGCAGGGGAGAGGGTGGGGGCAGGGGAGAGGGAGGGGGCAGGGGAGAGGGTGGGGGCAGGGGAGAGGGTGGGGGCAGGGGAGAGGGCTGGGTTGGGACACTGCAGTGCCAGGTGGTCCTGCCTTTCACAGGTTCTCTTCCCTCAACCCTGGAGCTCAGCACAAGGTGAGGCTGGGCTGCCCCCAGGGTATAGTGGCAATAACTCAGTCAGATCTGCATAGACTCAACCCTAACCCCAACCCCAACTACAACCCCAAACTCAACCCCAGCCCAACCCCAACCCCAGCCCCAAACTCAACCCCTGCCCCAACCACAACTACAACCCCAAACTCAACCCCAGCCCAACCCCAACCCCTGCCCCAAATCTCAACCCCTGCCCCAACCACAACCCCAGCCCCATCCTCATCCCTGACCCAACCCCAGCCCCAAACACAGTCCCAGCCCCAAAACCAACCCCAACACCAATCTGAACCCCAGCCCCAACACTAGCCCCAGCCCCTGGCCCAACCCCAGCCCCAACCCCAACACAAGCCTCAGCCCCAAACTCAGCCCATGGCCCAACCTCAGCCCCAAACTCAACCCCAGCCCAACCCCAACCCCAGCCCCAGCCCTAATCCAATACCAACCCAACCCCAACCCAGCTCCAGACCCAACCCCAACCCAGCCCCAATCCGATCCCAACCCAACCCCCAAACCTAGCCTCAACCCAAAACTCCACCCGAACCCTAACCCTAATCCCAACCCCAGCACCAGCCCCAACCTCAGCCTCAACTCCAATGCCAAACCCATCCTCAACCCCAGGCCCAACTTCAGAGCCAACCTGAGCTGGGGTGTGCCTAATACTGGGAGTGGGCAGTGTGTTGTTACACAGTCTCTAGTGCCCATGTCAGCCATTAGTCAGGAAATCTCTCACAGACTCCATCTCTACGCTCTTTCATGTTCTCTCTCTCACACACTCTCACTCTCTCTGTACCACTGTGCGTCCATCACATAAGTTCTCCACACATTTCTCGTACACTCTCACACTGTATCTTTCTTTCTTCCACACACACTCTCACACACTCACTCTCTCACACAATCTCTTACACACTGTGTCCCTTTCTCACACCGGTCACTCTCTGCCCCTCTAACCCATCATCACATCCCCTCAGTCCTCAGACTGCTGATTCTCTCATTCTGTCACTCTCCCTCTTTCACACTCAAACACACACACACTCTCAAACACACTCACTCTCAAACACACACTCACTCTCAAACACACACTCACTCTCAAACCCACACACACTCTCAAACCCACACTCACTCTCAAACCCACACACACTCTCAAACAAACACTGTCTCTCACACACTCTCAAACCCACACTCACTCTCAAACCCACACTCACTCTCAAACCCACACACACTCTCAAACAAACACTGTCTCTCACACACTCTCAAACCCACACTCACTCTCAAACCCACACTCACTCTCAAACCCACACTCACTCTCAAACCCACACACACTCTCAAACCCACACACACTCTCAAACAAACACTGTCTCTCACACACTCTCAAACCCACACTCACTCTCAAACCCACACTCACTCTCAAACAAACACTGTCTCTCACACACTCTCAAACCCACACTCACTCTCAAACACACACACACTCTCAAACAGTCTCTCACACACTCTCAAACACCGTCTCTCACACACTCTCAAACCCACACACACTCACTCTCAAACACACACTCACTCTCAAACCCACACTCACTCTCAAACACACACACTCTCAAACCCACACACACTCTCAAACACTGTCTCTCACACGCACTCAAACCCACACTCACTCTCAAACCCACACTCACTCTCAAACCCACACTCACTCTCAAACCCACACTCACTCTCAAACACACACTCACTCTCAAACACACACTCACTCTCAAACCCACACTCACTCTCAAACACTGTCTCTCACACACTCTCAAACACTGTCTCTCACACACTCTCAAACCCACTCACTCTCACACACTCACTCTCAAACACACACTCACTCTCAAACCCACACTCACTCTCAAACACACACACACTCTCAAACACACAACACACTCAAACACACACACACACACACTCTCTCACACTCTCACGCACACACTCTCTCCCATTCTGTAGTGTCTCTCACACACTCTCTCTCTCTCACACACACACCACACACTGTCTCGTTCTCACAATGGCACTCTCTCTCTCCTCCCCACACACCATCATCACATCCTCCCCGACACACACTCACTCACACACTGACTCTCTCACACTCACATCCAGTCCCTCAATAAGACGCCGACAGTGAGGAGCAGTGACTGCTGTGTGTGACTGTGCCTGTGCCTGGGCTGGGACTGGAGTGTGTGAGTGAGTGTGAGTGAGTGTGAGGGTGTGTAAGAGGGAGTGTGTGTGAGGGGGTGTGAGGGGATGAGAGCAATCCAACACCTCCTGGTCACTCTGCTGTTACTGGGACCCGGCACTCAAGGTGGGGACTGAGAGAGTTTGTTAGAGGTTGTGTGTGTGTGTGTGTGTGTGAGTGTGAGAGAGTGAGTGTGTGTGAGACAGTGTGAGTGTGAGAGAGTGTGTGTGTGTGAGACAATGTGAGTGTGAGAGAGTGTGTGAGTGTGTGTGTGAGACTGTGTGTGTGAGAGAGTGAGTGTGAGGGAGTGTGTGTGAGACAGTGTGAGTGTGAGAGAGTGAGTGTGTGTGTGAGACTGTGTGAGAGAGTGAGTGTGAGGGAGTGTGTGAGTGTGTGTGTGTGAGACAGTATGTGAGAGCGTGTGCGTGAGTGAGAGCGTGAGTGTGTGTGTGAGACAGTGTGTGTGTGAGAGAGTGTGTATGAGTGTGTGAGTGTGTGAGAGTGAGTGTGAGGGAGTGTGTGTGAGAGTGTGTCAGTGTGAGTGTGAGAATGTATGAGTGTGTGTGTGAGACAGTGTGTGTGTGTGTGAGAGAGTATGTGTGAGTGTGTGTGAGAGAGAGTGTGAGGGAGTATGTGAGTGTGTGCGTGTGAGAAAAGAGTGTATGAAAGTGTGTGTGTGACAGTGTGTGTATGAGAGTGTGTGCGTGAGAGTGTGTGAGAGTGACGGCGTGTGACAGAGAGTGCGTGTGAGAGGTGTGTGTGAGAGAGTGTAAGTGCGTGTGTGAGAGTGTGTGAGAGAGTGTGTATGTGGTGTGAGAGTGTGTGAGAGAGTGACGGAGTGTGACAGAGAGTGTGTGTGTGAGAGAGTGTGTATGAGAGACGAATGTGAGAGATGGAATGTGAGTGAGAGTGTGTGAATCGGTGAATTTGTGTGAAAATGTGAGTGTATGTATGTATGAGAGAGTGTGTGAGAGAGTGTCTGTGAATGGGTTTGAGACAGTGTGTGTGACAGTGTGTGTGATAGAGAGATAGTGTGTGAGAGAGCGTGAGAGAGAGTATAGGTCAGAGAGTTGGAGTGAGAGTTTTTGAGAGAGAATATGAGAGACTGTGTGTGTGAGAGTGTGTGTTTGAGAAAGTGTGTGAGAAAGTATGTGAAAGATAATATGTGAGAGAGTGTGTCAGAGAGCAAGAGAGTGTATGAGATTATGACAGTGTGAGAGTGCGTGTGAGACACAGACAGTGAGAGACACAGAATGTGAGACACAGATAGAGTGTATGTGAGAGAGTATGTATGTGTGAGTGTGTGTGTGAGAATGAGTGAGTGTGTGAGAGAATCAGTGAGTATGTGTGAGAATGAGAGTGTGTGTGAGAGTGAGTGAGTGTGCGTGATGGAGAGATAATGTGCGTGAGAGAGTGTGTGTCAGAGAGGTTGGAGTGAGAGTGTGTGAGAGAGAGCATATGAGAGACTGTGTGTGAGAGAATGTGTGTTAGAGAGAGTGTGTGTGAGACACTGTGTGAGAGGGTGTGTGTTAGAGAGCGATGGAGTGAGTGTGTGGAGAATATGAATGTGTGTGTGTATTAGAGAGAGTGTGTGCATGAGAGTGTGTATGAGACTGAGTGTGAGAGAGCGAGATAGAGTGGCATGTGAGAGTGCAAGAGTGTGCGTGTGTGAGTGTGTATGTGTGAGTGTGAGAGTGTGTATGTGTGAGTGAGAATGAGGGAGTGTGAGAGAATCAGTGAGTGTGTTTGAGAATGAGAGGGTGTGTGTGAGAGAGTGTGTGTGAAAGAGTGTGCAAGTGTGTGGAAGAGTGTGATAGAGAGATAGTGTGTGTGAGAGAGTGTGTGTGTCAGAGGGAAATGGAGTGAGTGTGCGAGAGAACATGACAGTGTGTGTGAGAGTTACGTGTGGGAGAGAGGAGGAGAGAGAGTGTGTGAGGGAATATGAGAGAGAGTGTGTGTCAGAGAGAAATGGAGTAAGAGAGTGTGAGTGAGCGTTTGAGAGACAGTGTGAGAGCAGTACAGAGTGAGAGTGTGATGGAAAGATGATAATAATAATAATAATAATAATCCTTGCATTTGATATAGCGCTTTATTGCGTCTTCGAGATGTCTGAGAGCGAGGAGAGTGACAGAGAGGAGGAGAGTGAGACAGAGAGGAGGAGAGTCAGTGAGGGAGAGGTAGAGACCGAGGAAGACAGAGAGAGAGTGTGTGAGAGAGAAGGAGAGCGCGTGAGGGAGAGGGAGAGGAGCTGAGCGCTGGGATGGCAGGTGTCAGCCTGGCTCACTGACGTCTCACCTCCCAGTCGCAAGGTTCAAAGTCTCTGACCTCACAAGTTCGAAGCTGATGCTCAAGGTCAGTGCTGGGGGGGGGGGAGGGAGGGGAAGGGGAGGTGGGGGCTGTGTGGTCGGAGGAGACGCCGTCTAAACCAGCAGCCATTAAAGATCTCCCACGGCCCTGCTCACAAAAAAGAGAAGGGAGCTTTTCTCTTTCTCTCTCTCTCTCTCTCCCCCGACAGTCCTCCCGGATGAAACCAGTCGTTTACAGGGACGTTCCTTTGCACAAATCGCCCACAAAACACACAAAAAGACTCAGTGTGTCTGTCCTGCAAAGCGCTTTGAGACGTCCTCCCTTACAACAAGGCAACGATTGTTAAAATAATCCCTTATCGTATCCTTAAGCAACTTGTCCAATCTCCCTGCTCGGCGGGCTCCTGCCTGTGCTTACACGTCCCCCTCCTGGCCTGTCCCACCATCGGTGGGTTTAGAAAGCCTTCAGCCTCTCTGCCCCCACCCCATGGAACTCCATCCCGTGGTCCCTTCGCCTCAGCTCCTCCCTTGTCTCCTTCGAGGCACGTCTCAATTCCTTCCACATGGACCGAGCTCACGGCCTCCCTCCCACCCTCACCCTCCCTGGCCTCCACCCTTCCTGATCCCAACCCCCAACTTGGGTGCAAAGCTTTGTTTGTCCAGAGATTTGTAATGAAAGGCAGGTCTGCGTAAATGCAAGTTGTTGCTGTTGCTGTTGCGAGCCCCATGTGAGTTGTGAGGGTAGAAGCTTATTTGGGGAGTAAACTGCTTCCCTCCGTGATCGAGTCTTTCTAAACCCTGGCACCATTAATAATAATCCCTTTAAAAAAAATTAATAATAATAATTTGGCCACTGAATCCACGACGGTGTGTGGGACGCTGCTGTGCGCAATTGGCTGCTGTGTTTCACCCTCAAAATATACAGACAATTCGCCTTACAATGTATCCTGTGAAGCGCTTTGAGATGTCTGGAAGCCACGATAAGGAGCTGTGTCAAAATTATTAATTATTAGTTAATAAAAATTGTTATTATTAATTAATATTTTTTTTATTATTAATTAATAATTATTATTAATAATCCTAGTATTTGCTACAGTGCTTCATCACTGGGAAGAGCACGATATGCTGTAAACAGCAGTGACGGTGTGTTTTGTGGGCAAACAGAGACGTCCCACTAACAGCCTTGAAATGAACGACTTATTTTACACATAATCCCAATCATCCTTGCGTTCAATATGGCGCCTTAGCACGTTGTCGAGACATCTCGAAGCGCTTCACAGTAGGAAGTGCGGTGACTGTGAATTTGGTGGGCGTATTCTGGGGGAATGTCGGCCAGGACGTAGAGAGAGAGAGAGAGAGAGAGAAGCTTCTCATTTTCGAAAAATGCCCCGGGTTCTTGAATGTCTCCCTCCACCCCCCCACCGCGGCCCCCCCCCCCGACCGGTACGGTCGACGAGCTCGGCGGAACAACTCGCTCCTCCGACGATGTGGTGCTCCCCACCCCCCCTCTCTCTCTCTCTCTCTCTCTCTCTCTCTCCTGCCCCCCCCAGCGCTGCGCTGGTCTGTGAGCTCAGAATCCCCAACGTGGAGAGCGAACTGACTGTGGAAGCTCTTGACTTGGAGGCAGAGCACGAGTGCTCTGCCTCCAAGTCAAGAGCTTCCACAGCCGCAGGTGACACAGCCTGGATTGCTGGCCCACAGCTAGTGCTCTGCCTCCAAGTCAAGAGCTTCCACAGTCTCACAGACCTACAATAATAACCTATTCTTTCAGAGGCTGGGAGTTTTTGTTTTGGGAAAGGGGACAGGATGCGGCGGGTTTCCTGCCCTTTTGTTCTGGAGTGACCAGGAGATTGAGCTGATGCTCGCTGTGCGCGTGGAGGCAATTCACTGCGTAACAGCTGCTCAACAGCAGCAGCGACAACAGTCTTACACTCGCACAGCGCCTCTCGCGTCATCGGGAGGACGTCCCGAGGCGCTGGACAGTGAAGGGGTTTTGCGCCCGAGCTGGGGGTCGGGATCAAGTGGGGAAGGGAGTGGGTGGGGGGGAACGGCAGTTAACTTTAAGTTACAGTTAAGGAGGGTTTAGTTAAGGGGTGATGTGCCGCACTCTCTTGGGAGAGAGAAATAATAATGATAATAATCCTTGCATTTGATATTGCGCCTTATCACGTCTCAAAGCGCTTCACAGAATATACCTGTAAAGTGAATTGACTGCATATTTCGTGGGCGAAACAAAGTAAGAGAGAGACGGGGGGATGGGGACAGAGAGAGAATGAGAGAGAATCGGAGATCCGGCAACAGAGAAAGAGAGGGTGGGAGAGAGACAGTGGGAGAGAGAGAGAGAGAGAGAGAGAGGGGCTGTGGGGGCTGAGGGAGAGACCGAGATAGGACTGAGAGAGGGGGAACTGAGATTGAAAGAGAAAGAGTATGAGAGACAGAATGAGACAGAGGCACTGAGAGAGAGAGCCGAATAAAGGGATTGAGAGAGAGCAAGGGGGGATTGAGGGTCCGAGCGAGAGAGACAGAGACAGAGATTGGGATAGAGAGATTGAGAAAAAAACGGGAAGGAGATAGGGGGCAAGAGAGGCCGAAGGTGAGAGGGGGGAGGGAAGCTTGTGGAATGCGGAGGAGGTATGTCTGACTGGGAGCAGTCTGGCTCGGGCCAGGCTGTGGTAAGATCCAGCTCAAGTTGCTCTGTGAGCCCATATGCCACAGACACACACCCCTTCCGCCCCACCCCGGCTCAGACCAGCTCAGTAACAGGGCTGTCAACCCAAACTCCTGATAACTAGTCACTGCAAGGGGAAAGGACTCAGTGACGAGTTATCAGGAGCAGCGAGTTTGGAGTAGGTATAAATAAATACATGAAGGCTGGATATTGACAGGACGATGACTTAAGTGGTAGTGACAAGTTAAGGTTTGAGTTATCAAGAGTTTGAGTTATCATATACATGGCCCTATATTAATAATACAGTATTAATAGAGGGCCCTGTATATTAATACTAATAACAGGGCTGTGTATAATACTATTACTAATAATCCTTGTATTTAATATAGCGCCTTATCATGAAAGTGCTTCACGGGATATATTGTAAAGTGTAGTGACTGTTTACTTTGCGGGAGGAAGGCCTGGATTGTGCTCTGAACTGCGTAGGCCTGGACTGTGAACTCAAAGTTCCCGAGACGAATCTTGAACCAACAACTTTTTGAGTGAGAGTCAGACTCCCTCCCTCCCTCCCTCCCTCCCCCCCCCATCATGTCTTCTGGACGTCTCAAAGTGCTTGATGGAATAAACTGTAAAGTGAATTGACTGTATATTTTGTGAACGAAACACGGCAGCGAATTGTGCACAGCAGCGTCTCACAAACCGTCGTAGATTGAGTGACCAGATTATTATTATTTTTTTTAAGGGATTATTACCCCCGGAAAAACGATCCACCAATCGACTAACAGCCGGGTTCCTATTTACTGCTGGGTAAGCAGAGGCGTGTGGAGTAAGGAAAGTTCCCCAATGTTTCACCCTGTTGGGAGTTAAACCCAGGTCTCTCACCTTTGAGATAGGTGCTCTAACCACTGAGCTATAGGATGCAGGAAGGGAGGAAGGAGAGTTGGGAGGGAGGCAGGAAGGAGAGTTGGGAGGGATGGATCCAGAGATGAGGGGCAGATAGGCTGAGAATGGAAGTTGGGATATGAAGCAGACCAGAGCCTGCTGAGCAGAGGGAGAGGCTGGGTCAGTAAGGTTTTTGAGGAGGTCACAGAGATAGGGTTCAGAGTGTAGATTAATAAGCCATGTCTGTGATATTTGTGTGTGTTAAAACCTCCCGTTAACATAGCACTGTTGCTCTTCCCCATCTACCCCAGGGCTTCAGTGTTTAAATGATGTGGATCCGTGTGTTAACGGTGGAAACTGCACGTCACAGACCAATGGTACTGGATTGTGTGTGTAAGTAACAGTTTGTCCCTCTCTCACCCCCCCATCACACGTCCTGTCAGACAGGTCACATACATTGTCCATCCACACTCCCAAGTCAGGATTAGAGACACAGTAAAGCTCCCTCTACATTGAGCGTCCACACTAACACGTCAGGATTAGAGACACAGTAAAGCTCCCTCTACACTGTACATCCACTCCCAGGTCAGCCACAGCAATGGTTAAAGAAAAGATATTAAACAATAATACTCACATTCGATACAACAGCTTTTGTGTTTCAAAGTGCTTCACGAGATTCACTGCAAAAGTGATGCGACTGTGGGTTTGCGACAGCCAATTTGCGCTGCGATGTCCCACAAACAGCGACGTCGGTTGACTGAGTGACCAATTTTATCTGAGGGAATGTTGGCCAGGATACCAGGGGAGAGAGTAGGAAGCTTCTCTTTCGAGAATTTTCAAGAAGCACCGCAGGAGACCTTTAACTTGCAGCTGAACAGGGGCACACAGGCGGGGAGCAAGGTTTAAAGGATCATCCGAAGAACGGTGTCTCCAGCAATGCAACGCTGTCTCCCCCCAGCGCTGCATCGGAGCATCAGCCCAGACTGTGAGCTCAGAGTCGCTGAGCCAGGAACTTGGACTCACAACCCTCTGGTTCAATAATAATAATAACAATAATAATCCTTGTGTTTGACGTAGCCTTTATCACGCCGTTGAGAAGTCGCAAAGCGCTTCACAGATTATACTGTAAAGTGAATTGACTGTATATTTTGTGGGCGAAACACAGCAGCGATTGCGCACAGCAGCGTCTCACAAACAGTCGTGGATCAAGATACCAAGCTATTTATCTTTTGAAATGAACATTGCCCCTGGAAAGCGATCCGCCAATCGATTAACAACCGGGTTCCTACCTCCTGCTGGGAAAAGAGGGGCGTGCGTGGGGAGTAAGGAAACTTGCCCAAGGTTTCCCCTGCCTGCCCCGTGGCTCCAGCGCTTCGCTTGCGAGTCGAGTGCTTTAGCCATTGAGCTACAGGACTCCACAAGTCCTGGGGTGTGGAGGGGAGTGAGCTGGTGACTGAGCCGGGCTGACCCACTCAGAATGATGTGAATCCGTGCGTGTTTCTCCGCAGGTGTGCGTCTGACTACACAGGGGAGAGGTGTGAGCACTGGGACCCTTGCCTGGCCCCCCGCTGTCTGAACGGTGGCTCCTGCTCCCCCTCCCCCCAGCCACAGAATGCCTCCGTCAGCTACGCTTGCAGCTGCCCCCCGAGCGTCACAGGCCAGCACTGCGAGACCCCCGTCACACACCCCTGTCTCAGCAACCCCTGCCTCAACAGCGCAACCTGCCAGAGGGTCTCACCGCACACTGCAACTGCACCTGTCAGCATGGCTGGACAGGTGAGTACTAAACACTGGAAACAGTGCGCAGAGTACTAACACCGAGAGTACTAAACACAGAGACCTAACACCGAGAGTACTAAACACAGAGTACTAACGCTGAGAGTACTAAACACAGTGAACTAATACTGAGAATACTAAACACAGAGAACTAATACTGAGAGTACTAAACACAGAGAACTAATACTGAGAGTACTAAACACAGAGAACTAATACTGAGAGTACTAAACACAGAGAACTAATACTGAGAGTACTAAACACAGAGAACTAACACTGAGAGTACTAAACACAGAGAACTAATACTGAGAGTACTAAACACAGAGAACTAACACAGAGTACTAAATACAGAGAACTAATACTGAGAGTACTAAATACAGAGAACTAATACTAAGAGTACTAAACACAGAGAACTGACACTGAGAGTACTTCAGGCTGAGAGTTTTAAACACAGTACTACATACAGAGTACTAAACACTTGTGTATGTGTGTGTATGTGTGTGTAGGGCAGACTGACCTGTGTATGTGCGTGTAGGGCAGGCTGACCTGTGTGTGTGTGTGTGTGTGTGCGTGTGCTTAGGCCACTCTCTCACTGTGTGTGCGTGTCTCTCGCTCCCTCTGTAGGGCCGTGCTGTCAGCAGGCTGACCCGTGTGCTGGAAGCCCGTGTAGACACGGGTCCCGCTGCCTGCCGAGCGGAGGACATTTCCGTTGCCTGTGCCGGGCTGGCTACCGGGGGCCGGCGTGTGAGATCGACGTGGACGAGTGCCAGGCTGGACCTTGCCTGAACGGTGGCACCTGCCTCAACCAACCCGGCTCGTACCGCTGTGCCTGTCCCCCTACCCACACCGGCCCTGCCTGCCAGACAACCACCGGTGCCTGTCTGCCCGGGTCCTGCCAGCACGGCGGAGCCTGCGTCCGGCGCACAGACCCCCACTCACCGTCTCGCTGTGTCTGCCCCGCCGGTAGGTGGGCACGGATCGGTGGATATGTTCGTCCGCACGCGCTTGCGTGTTGAGGTGTCGGAAGGGGCTGGTGTAACGGGGCGGGGGTGGGGGGGGGGATTCATGGGAGCTCGTCTGACTTCTTCATGACCCGTCTCAAGACCCTCCTCGTTAACTGCCCATTCGGTCACCCTCCTACCCCTCCCCTCTCCTCCCCGCCCTCCGCCCCCTCCTGATCCCGACCACCAGCTCGGGTGCGGATCCCTGACTGTCCAGTGTCTTAAGACGTCCTCCTAACGTGAAAGATGACCGGACACATGTCATCTGTTGTTGTTGTTGTTGTCGAGGAGACCCTCTCCCAGTGTCCCGGCCGATAGTCCCACAAATAAAACTGGTCCCTCACTCCATGGTTTGTGAGACACGGCTACGCGCAAACTGTCTGCCGTGTTTTGCCCACAAAATACACAGTCGCTACACTTTACAGCGTGTCATGAGAAGCACTTTAGGAAGTCCTCCTGAGGTGCTCAGGCACCGGAGCAAAGCCAAGGATTGTTTAATGTTATAATAATAATAATAATAATAATAATCCTCGCATTTGATATAGCGCTTTTCACGTCGGGAGGACGTCCCAAAGCGCTTCACGGAACACACTGTAAAGTGAATTGACTGTATGTTTGTGGGCGAACGCGGCAGCCAATTGCGCACAGCAATGTCCCACAAACAGTCGTAGATTGAAAATGACCAATTTATTATTGTTTTGGGTTTTGGAGGGATTATTATTAGGCTCTGTGTGGAGTAAGGAAACTTGCCCAAGGTTTCGCCCTCTGCCTGGAATTGAACTCAGGTCTCTCACTTGCAAAGCGAGTGCTCTAACCACTGAGCTACAGGACTCCACAATTATTTATGTAACCTGCGCTGTGGCTGAGCTGGGAGTGTGGACCCACAGTGTACGTGACCTGTCTGGTGCTGTGTGGATGGATGGATGGACAGTATAAAGGGAGCGTCGCTGTGTATCTGAGATCTGCCGAGACTCGTTGTTAACCCTTTGCCTCCCACAGCCTTTACTGGCCATTACTGTGAGGTGAATGTTGATGACTGTCAGGGTCACCAATGTCGGAACGGAGGCAGATGTGTGGATGGGATTAACACGTACACCTGTCATTGTCCACCACAGTGGGAAGGTAACACACTCGCTCCCACACTGCCCCCATTCGCACACTCAATCCCACACTTAGTCCCACTCGCATACTCGCTCCCACACCAACCCTCAGGCCCTCAAACACACTCACTCGCACACCCACCCTCCCCCTGCCTTCACACACACTTGCTCGCACAACCAGCCTTTGTGCCCTCATTCTCTCCATTTCCACTCACTTCTCTCCATTCTCACTCCCTGTCTCTCGTACGCTTTCTCTCTCTCTTTATCTCTGTTCTCACGCACTCTTCTCACACCCACACACTCTCTCTCCATTCTCATTCCCTTTCTCTCGTTCTCTCTCACTCTTTCTGTGTCCTCACTCCCTGTCTCTCTGTATCTCTCTCACACCCATCTCTCTCTGTCCCTCTCTCTGTGTTCTCTCTCTTACACTCCTGCTCTCTTTTTCTCTCCCTCCCTCTAGAGTCCTGTCTGTCGCCTCCTCCCTCTCCGTTTCTCTCTGACTCCCTTTCGCTCTCTTACTCTCTCCCTCTCTCTCTCCCTCCTTCCCTCTCTCTGCAGGTCCTCTATGCTCCCGGGATGTGGTTGAGTGTGAGCAGCGGGGTGTGTGTGAGAACGGGGGAACGTGTATCAACATGGTGGGTGGCTATGTGTGTGTGTGTGTGAACGGCTGGTCTGGGGATCGCTGTACACACAATATCAATGACTGCCGGGCAGCTCTGTGCTCAGAGGGAGCCACGTGCCATGATCGTGTGGCCAGCTTCACCTGTGAGTGCCCACCTGGTAGGACAGGTAGGTCCCCATCAGTGCCCAGTCTGCCAACCATCAACCCCAAGTCACCATCCAACCCCACCCATACCCCCTCACCACCCAACCCCACACCCCACACCCTGCCCATACCCTCCTCACAACTCAACCCTCCTCACCACCCAACCTCCTCACCACCCATACCCTCCTCACCACCCAAACCCTCCTCACCACCTGTAATATTGATAATAATCCTTTCATTTGATATAGAGCCTTATTACATCTTTGAGACGTCTCAAACCACTTCACGAAATTGTACACAGCAGTGTCCCACAAACAGTCGTGGATTGAGTGGACAAATCATTGTTATTGTTTTGAAGGAATTATTACCTCTGATCCGCCAATCGACTAACAACTGGGAGCTCACTTACCGCTCGGTAAACAGAGGTGTGTGGAGTAAGGAAAGTTGCCCAACATTTCACCCTGCCCAATGTTTCGCCCTGCCCGGGAATCGAACCCAGGTCTCTCGCTTGTGAGGCAAATGCTCTAACCACTGAGCTACAGGTTTCCACCATCCATACCCTCCTCACCTTCCCCAATGCTTTCCCAGCAGGGTGAAACGTTCGTCAAGTTTCCTTACTCCACACACCTCTGATTCCCCAGGCAATAGTAGGAATGTGGTTGTTAATCATTTGACGGATCATTTTAGGGGATAATAATCCCTCCCAAAAAATTATAATTTTGTCACTCAATCCATGACTGTTTATGGGACACAGCTGTGTGGAATTGGCTGCCGCATTTCATCCCCAAAATACAATTACTTACACTTTAAAATATATTCTGCATCGCACTTTGGAGATGTCTCAGCAACGTCATAAGATGCTTTATCAAAAGCAAGAATTATTATTGGTATTATCCATACCTTCATCACTATCCATACCCTACTTGCTCTCTGTCCGTCCGTCTGTCTGTCTGTCTCTTGCACTCTTCATTGGTCTCTCCCTCTCTCCGTCAGTCTCTCCCTCTCTCAGCCGGTCTCCCACACTCTCTGTCGATCTCCCCCTCCCTATCGTCTCTTCTTCTGTCTCTCAGTCTCTCCCTCCCCCTCTCCATCAGTCTCCGACACTTTCTATCGGTCTCTCCCTCCCTCTCTCAGTCTCTGCCTCCCTCTCCCTACTCTCTCTGTGGCAGGTCTCCTGTGTCAGCTGAATGACAGCTGTCTCCACAATCCCTGTCACAAGGGAGCGATCTGTGATACCAACCCGATCACCGGTCAGGCCATCTGCCATTGTCCACAGGGCTACACGGGACCCGTGTGCAAGAGTGACATCAACGAGTGCTCGATGGGTGAGTCAATTCGGAAATCCGTCACCGTGATCATCTGGTGTCTGACACACACAGAAACCCGTCACCGTGATCATCGGTGTCTGACACACACAGAAACCCGTCACCGTGATCATCCGGTGTCTGACACGCCTCCTGTGGACACCGTTTCACACTCTGACCTTTTGTTCTGGAATGTTCCTTCTCAGGAGCCAACCCGTGTGAGCACAGCGGGCGATGCGAGAACACCATGGGGTCCTTCTGGTGTCGGTGTCGGGCCGGGTACAGTGGGGCGCGGTGTGAGCTGGACATCAAGGAGTGTCTCTCCAACCCTTGCCTCAACGGGGCTACCTGCCTGGATGAGATCGGGGAGTTCAAGTGCATCTGCATGTCAGGTACCGGAGGTCACAGCAATAGCAACAACAACAACTTGCATTTATAAAGCACCTCCCCCTCCCCCCACCCACACACACACACACAACAAGGTAGTGTCCCAGAGCACTTGATAGGGCCGAACTGGGGGAGGGGGGACGTGACCCAAGGCACGGTTGAAGAGGAAGGTATTCAGGCCCGAGCAGAAGATGGGGAAGGAAGGGACAAGATGATGGACTAGAGAAAAAGTGTTCCAGAGTTTCAGGGCGTAGTGGCTGGAAGAGCACCAACGATGGTGGAAGGGAGGGCACGAGGGTCAAGCAGGAGGCCGGTGGCAGCGGGTAGTAGGCTGGGAGAGTAAGCGGGTTGGAGAGGTAGGGAGGTGCCAGGGTGTGAAGGGATTTGAAGACGAGTGAAAGGATCTTGAATCTGTTCTGCAATAAGGAGACAGTGAAGCCTTCCTAGAACTGTGTGATGGGGGTTCGGAGATTAGAATGGGTGAGTCCCACATCTCTACATGTGGGAGGTTCCTCACCCACAGATACAGAAGGTCCCATATCTTTATATACCTTTTATTTGGGTCAGTCGGGTGTCTGACATGTGCTGTCTTTAAGAGTGTCCAAACCAAACTGAGAATTCCATGTATCCCATCCCACCTACATGTGGAAATCCCAGAGATAGATTGTTGGGATGGAATGCGCGCTGTCTCTCTCTCCCTGGAGAGACACCTCCTGCTTCTAATTCCAGAAAGTAAAGGCACAAGCTGGCAAGAGCCAAGGCTTGGGGACCCCAGAGTGTGTGTTGTGGCAACTGCTGGAGTCTAACCAGCTAAAACAACAACAACGACAAGATTACATTTGCATAGCGCCTTTCACGTTGGGAGGATGTCCCAAGGCACTGAAAGAACCCCATAGCTTGCCATTGATATCACTGTCTGACAAGCTTTCCCGCTGCTTGTCCAGCCAGGACCACCCGACCCGATAGGGCTTTGGTTGCAGGGTTAACAGGAGCTGAGTGGGAGGATTCCCTGCCCCCAGTGACTGGTTTGCCCTTCCAGGCCGTGCCAATGAACCAGGCTGTGCTGCCATCTCTATATACCAGTGGTTCTTCATCCCAGATAACAATAATAATAATCCTTGCATTTGATATAGAGCCTTATCAAGTTTTCAAGACGACTCAAAGCGCTTCACAGAATATACTGTGAAGTGAATTGACCGTATATATTGTGGAGAAAACACGGCAGTCAATTGCACATGGCAGTGTCACGCAAACAGTTGTGGATTGAGTGACCAAGTTTCATATACGTATGTGTTTTGAGAGGGATTATTACCCACGAGAAGCGATCTGCCAATCAACTAACAACTGGATTCCTACTCACTGTCCTCAGGTTACGAGGGTATTTTCTGTGAGATTAACCGTAACGAGTGTCTGAGTAACCCTTGCCTGAACCGCGGGACATGCCAAGACCGTGTCAATGACGTGCTTTGTGAGTGTGCTCCAGGTAAGATATTCCATGTAACATACCTACATCATGTAAGCACCATATATATTTTTGTATTTGTGTGGGTGTATGTTTTAGAGTCAGCCTGGCTCAGTGGGTCACAGTAACTCACAGGATTCACTCAAAAGTGTAGTGACTGTTTTATTTTGCCGGCGAATGCGGCAACGAATTTGCGAACAGCAAAGTCCCAACCAGTCGAGTGACCAATTTTTTTTTAGTGAGGGGGAGAGAGAGAGAGAAACTCCCTTCTCTTTTCCAATTGCACCACTGAGATCTTTAACGTCCATGTGAACCAGCAGAAAGGACGGCACCACTGACAATGCAACACCGTCCCCTTGCGCTGGGCAGCAGAAGATAACAATTTGCTGGAGAAAGAAGACCAAAGTCCATCCAGTTCGCCTTCCACCATTCTGGCGGTCGCTTGTCATATCATGTCCCAAACTACTCACTGTATAGCGAGATATTATTTTCTAGCAGAAATCTATCTCATTTGTTCTTGAAACAAGTGACATTTTCGGCTTCCGCTGTCTGTCTCCCTCGGGAGCCTGTTCCACAAGTTCACTACTCACTCACTGAAGGAGGGTTTCCAAAGATTTGTTCTGAATTTACTCCCTCCAATCTCAGGCCGTGTCCTCAGGTTCTACTGTTCAGGACAAGATAAAACAGCTGATCATGATCGACATTGTCTCGTCCCATCAGAATCTTAAAAACCGTAATCATATCACCCTTCAACCTTCCCTTCTCTGTATTGGTGCGTCAGCTTAGACTGTGATTCCAAGTCTCGATGAGGGTCTTGAACCCACAACCTTCTGACTTGCAGGACAGAGCGTGAGTGACTGAGCCGGGCTGAGACCTGAACTGGAGGTTTGGTAGTGAGGGTTGGAGTGACACTGAGGTGAGGGGAGTGTGGGCTGAAGCTCTGTCTCGTTAATGTGTTGTTGGGACCCCCCCTTGGCAGGATTCCAAGGGCTGAGGTGTGAAGAGGATATGGACGAGTGTGGCAGCGATCCATGCCTGAACAGGGGGACGTGTGTGGACGGACCTGGCAGCTTCCACTGCCAGTGCCAGGAAGGTAAAATAATAATAATAACGATAGTAATTCTCGCATTTGTACAGCGCTTCGTCATGACTTTTTGAGACGTATCAAAGGGCTTCACAGAATACATTGTAAAGTGTATATTTTGTGGGTGAAACTTGGCAGCCAAGTGTACACAGCAGCGTCTGTTCCACAAACAGTGATCAATTTACTAAATGAAAAACATTTTTTTTAAACCCATCACGTGCCCCCCCGACCCCTGCTCACTCCCTCAGGCATATGACCCCCTCGTCCTCGCCTTCAAAGCCCCTCACGGCCTTGCCCCTTCCTACCGCTGTGGCCTGCTGACTCCATATCAACCCGTCCACTCCCTCCAGCCTGCTCCATGTGCCCCCGCCTCAGTGGTCAGTCCTGCAGCCTCTCTGCCACCACCTCTGGAGCTCCATCCCGCAGTCCCTCCATTTCGCTCCCTCCATTGCCTCCTTCGAGACCCATCTCAAGACCCTCCTCTTCGACTGCATCTTCGGTCACCCTCCTACCCCCACCCTCCCTGTCCACCACCCTCCTGAGCCCAGCCCCCAGCCCCCAGCCTAGCTGCAAATCTCTGACTATCCAATGCCTTGCGATTATTCTCCTGCCGTGAAAGGCGCTGTGTAAATGCAAGGTGTTGTTGTTGGTGTTGATATTGATGACTCTCTCTCTCTCTCTCTCTCTCACTCTCTCTGTGTAATAGGGTATGATGGGTCTCTGTGTGAAGATGACATTGATGACTGTGCCGGGAGTCCCTGTCATCACGGCACATGCCTGGATGGCGTGGCCTCGTACACGTGTGTCTGTATCGTGGGTTACACGGGGAGAGCGTGCAGCCTGGAGGTGGACGAGTGTGCCAGCCAGCCCTGCCAACACGGGGCTCCCTGCCACGATCTGCTCAACGCCTACCAGTGCCTGTGCCCTCCGGGAACCACAGGTAACTCACTGTTACCCTGTTACCTGTTACCCTGCCCAACAAACACCACTGTAACCCTTCACACAACAACAACATTAATAATAATTCTTGCATTTGTTACAGTGCCTTATCACGTCTTTGAGACCTCTCAAAGCGCTTTACGGAATATACTGTAAAGTGAATTGACTATATATTTTGCAGGGGAAATGCCACAACAAATTGTGCACAGCAGCGTCCCACAAACAGTTATGGATTGAGTGACCAAATTATTATTTACTTTTGTTTTTGGAAGGAATTATTACCCCCGGAAAAACAATCCGCCAATCGATTAACAACCGGGTTCCTACTTACTGCCGGGTAAACAGAGGCGTTAACTACTGAGCTGCAGGACTCCACGCTCACAATCACATTCCTCACATTACGGCATCTTTCATACTGAGAGGACGTCCTGAAGCGCTTCACAGGAATCACTGTAAAGCGCATTGACTGTGTAATTTATGGAGTCCTATAATAATAATAATAATAATCCTTGCATTTGATATAGCGCTTTTCACGTCGGGAGGACGTCCCAAAGCGCTTCACAGAACACACTGTAAAGTGAATTGACTGTATATTTGTGGGCGAACGCGGCAGCCAATTGCGCACAGCAATGTCCCACAAACAGTCGTGGATTGAAAATGACCAATTTATTATTGTTTTGGTTTTGGAGGGATTATTATTAGGCGTGTGGATTATTATTATTATTATTATAACGCAGTGGTTAGAGCAATCGCCTGGTATGCAGGAGGTCCCAGGTTCGATTCCCGGACAGAGGAAAACATTAGGCAAATTTTCTTACTCTACACATCTCTGTTTACTCAGCAGTAAGTGGGAACCCGGCTGTTTGTTGAATGGTGGATGGCTTTCCCGGGGTAATAAGTCCTTAAAAATAATATTTGGTCACTCAATCCACGACAGTTTGTGGCACACTGCTGTGCGCAATGTCTGCCGGGTTTCGCTCACAAATATAGTCAATTCATTTTACAGTATATCCCGTGAAGCGCTTTGAGATATCTCGAGTACGTAATAAGGCGCTATATCAAATGCAAGGATTATTATTACTGTTACAGGCTGTGTTTACCTGTGTTTAGCTGTGTATGGCTGCCTTACAGCCTGTGTTTGGCTGTGCTTGGCCTTGTTTCAGGCTGTGATTGATTGTGTTTGGCTGTGTTTGGCTGTGTTTCAGACTGTGTTTGGCTGTACTTGGCTAAGTGTTACAGGCTGTGTTGGGCTGCATTATGTCTGTGTTTGCCTGTGTTTTGGTGTGTGCTGGGCTCTGTTTGACTGTGTTTGTGTGTATTACAGGCTCTCGCTGTGCGACGCTGATCGATCCCTGTGCTGGGAGTCCGTGTATGAACGGTGGGAGCTGTGTGGAGGCCGATAACAACAGGAGCTTCTCCTGTCTGTGTCCCCAGGCATTGAGCGGTACATGAACAGCACTCACTGAGCTCAGCTATCTCCTCTGTCACTGCCCACAGTCACTACACCATCACACCGTGTGTGCGTGTGTGTGTGAGTGTATGTGTGTGAGTGTGTGTGTGTGCATGTGAGTACATGTGTGTGTCTCTCTGTGTCACTATGACCATGAAGTCCTAACGTGTATCTTCCGTGACGGAGTGTGTTGTGTGACAGGACGGCTGTGTGAGACGTGGCGAGACGTGTGCAGCTCTGAGCCGTGTTTCAACGGTGGAACATGCGTGATCGCTGGGCCAGACTTCAACTGCTCCTGTCCTCCCGGATACATCGGCAAGCACTGCGAGACATACCGGGACCTCTGTACACCCAGTACGTCATCCGTGATCACGTCTGTGTGTCCCTCACACTGTCATACACAGACATATAGCCCTCACACTGTCACACACACACCTCTCCCTCACCCCCCTCCCCCCTCTCTGTCCTACATTCACACAGCACCCTTCACTGTACACAGTCACTACACCATCACCATCACCGTACACAGTCACTACACCATCACTGTACACAGTCACTATACTATCCCTCTCACTGTACACAGTCACTACACCATCACTCTCATTGTGCACAGTCACTATACTATCACTCTCACTCTACACAGTCATTACACCATCACTATCACTATACTATCACTCTCACTCTACACAGTCATTACACCATCACTATCACTATATACAGTCACTACACCATCACCATCACTGTAAACAGTCACTACACCATTACCATCACTGTACACAGTCACTATATTATCACTCTCACTGTACGCAGTCACTGCACCTCACACACTCACTGTTCACAGTCACTACACCTTCACACAGGGTAGCGTCTTGGGGGGTTTATCCCTGATAGTGAAGCCGAGCGAGAGAGAGAGGGGAGGAGAGAGTAAATGGAGAAGTAAAGGCAGAGTTCTCTCTCTCTCTCTCTCTCTCTCCCTCTCTCCGTTATCCCTCCTGTTATTATTGTAAACATGTGTTGTGTAGACGGAGTCTAACCTGCAGCTTCGCTCCCCCACCCCCCTCAACCCCCCACCCCCCCCCCCACCCCACCCCCACCCAGACACCTGCCAGAACGGGGGGACGTGCGAGGAGCATCCGGGGGTCCGGGGAGGGAAGTGCAATCACACCGGGAGCGAGTGCGGGGACAACCCCCAATACGCCTGCCTCTGCCCGGCCGGCGTGACTGGAGCCCGGTGTGAGGAGTTGGTCACCGGCTGTACATACAGGTAAGGGCCTGCGGGACTCGGGGCGTATTTGCCTGACACGCACCGAGCAAACACCGGAGTGCTGTAGCTCAGTGGTCCGAGCGCTCGCCTCGCAAGCGAGAGAGGACCTGGGCTGGATTCCCGGGCCGGGCAAAATGTTGGGCAAGTTTCCTTACTCCACACACACACACACACACACGCGCTCCTCTGGTTACCAGCAGTGAGTAGGATCCCGATTGTTAGTCGATTGGTGGATCGCTTTTCCGGAGGAAAATAATTCCTTCAAAATAACAATAAATATTAATGATAATTCGGTCACTCAAGTCGACGAGTGTTTGTGGGGCAGACGCCGCTGTGCGCAATTGTCTGCCGAGTTTCACCCACAACATACACAGTCAATTCACTTCATAATATATTCTGTGAAGCGCTTTGAGACGTCTCGATGATGTGGTGAGAGTCATATCAAATGCAGGGATTATTATTACACACTGTACACACACAGTCTGTGTGTGTTTGGTCCTGACTGTGAGTGTGTGTATTGGTGTGCGTGTGTGTGGGTGTCAGTGTTTTGTGAGTGTGTGGGTTAGTGTTGAGTTTGTGTGAGTGTGCGTATATTGGTGTGAGTGGGTGTGAGTGTGTGGGTGTGATTGTGTGTATGTTGGTGTGAGTGTGTGTAAGTGTGAATATGTTGGTGTGAGAGTATATGAGTGTGTATGTTGGTGTGAGTGTGTGGGTGTGAGTGAGTGTGTGGGTGTGAGTGTGTATGTTGGTGTGAGTGTGTTGGTGTGAGTTTGCTGGTGTGAGTGTGTTGGTGTGAGTGTGTATGTTGGTGTGAATGGGTGTGAATATGTGAGTGTGTGGCTGTGACTGTGTGTATGTTGGTGTGAGTGTGTGGATGTGATTATGTGTATGTTGGTGTGAGTGTGTGTAAGTGTGTGTATGTTGGTGTGAGTGTGTGTATGTTGGGTGTGAGTGGGTGTGAGTGTGTGTATGTTGGGGGTTGTGAGTGGGTGTGAGTGTGTGTGTGTGCTGGTGTGAGTGGGTGTGAGTGTGTGTATGTTGGGGGGTGTGAGTGGGTGTGAGTGTGTGTATGTTGGGTGTGAGTGGGTGTGAGTGTGTGTATGTTGGGGGGTGTGAGTGGGTGTGAGTGTGTGTGTGTGCTGGTGTGGGTGGGTGTGAGTGTGTGTCTGTTGGTGTGAGTGTGATTGTGTGTGAGGGTGCGGGTGTGAATGTGTGTATGTTGATGTGAGTGTGGGTATGTTGGTGTGATGAGTATGTTGGTGTGTGTGGGTGTGAATGTGTGTATGTTAGTGTGAGTGTGTGGGTGTGCGTGTGTGTATGTTGGTGTGAGTGTTGATGTGGGTGTGTGGGTGTGAGTGTGTGTATGTTAGTGTGAGTGTGTGGGCCTGAGTGTGTGTATGTTGGTGTGAATGTTGGTGTGAATGTGTGTATGTTAGTGTGAGTGTGTGGGTGTGAGTGTGTGTATGTTGGTGTGAGTGTGTGGGTGTGAGTGTGTGTATTTTGGTGTGAGTGTTGATGTGAGTGTGTGGGTGTGAGTGTGTGTATGTTGGTGTGAGTGTGTGTATGTTAGTGTGAGTATGTGAGCGTGAGTGTGTATATGTTGGTGTGATGAATGTGTTGGTGTGAGTGTGTGTATGTTGGTGTGATGAGTGTGTGGGTGTGTGTGTATGTGGTGTGAATGTGGCGTGAGTGTGTGTATGTCGGTGTGAGTGTGTAGGTGTGAGTGTGTGTATGTTGGTGTGAGTGTGTGTATGTTGGTGTGATTA